CTTATCAACACTTGTTATTTCTTGTCTTTTGGATAGTGGCCATTCTAACTGGTGTGAGGTGATATCTCACTGTGGTTTTGATTTGCATTTCCCTGCTGATTAGCAATACGGAGCAACTTTTCACCTGTTAGCCATCTGTATTTCTTCTTTGGAAAGAAGTCTGCTCAGGTCCTCCACCCATTTTTTAATCCAGTTATTTGTCGGGATTTTGTATATTTTGGATGTTAATCCTTATTGGATAAATCATTTACAAATATATTCTCCCATACTGTAGGATGCCTTTTTGTTCTGCTGATGGTGTTCTTTGCTGTACAGAAGGTTTTTAGTTTGATATTGTCCCACTTCTTCATTTTTTATTTGCTTCCCTTGCCCAAGGAGACGTATCCAGAAAAAAATTGCTCATGCTGATGTTTAAGAGATTTTTACCTTTGTTTTAGTCTAAGAGTTTTATGGTTTCATGTCTCACATTCAGTTCTTTGATCTTCTTCAAGTTTACTTCTGGAGTTAGACCCTAATTCAGTTTCATTCTCCTACATGTAGCTGTCCAGTTTTCCCAACACCAGTTATTATTTTCTCTATTATATATTCATGACTCCTTTATCATATATTAATTAACCAGACATGTATACATTTATATCTGAAATTATTTGTTAATTTTTTGCAATGCATTTGAGAGTTCATGCTGCCCAATTACACAGCTATTGATAATACTTGTCAGATTTTTTTTATATGGATCCAACATATTATTTGGGTATCTGGAAACATCTGGTGAGGAGAATGGTAGTTACCAATGTGTTTGCACTATACACACACCTTACACACACACACAATCACATTTCATAATTTGGAACAAACAGGTTGTTCACATTCAAGGATGGTGCTATAGAGGCTTTTAAGTGGGACTGAAAACAATTTGTATTCATTTTTTACTATTAATACATTAAATATTCCTTTACTTTTATTATATTGCTCTGCAAACTCTTTTTATGTGAGAGAAGAAGAAAAACTTCAGCCAAACATGCTATTTTTAAGATGATTCTTATCTATTCATTAAAGGATTGACATGGTTGTATATATAGGGTGTGTGTGTAATATATATAGAGATATAGTATACATATATATATACACACTATATATAGGGTGTGCATGTAATATAAATATATAGATATATACATAGATATAGCATTGCTTTTCAATTGGTAACAGAGATTTAGAGTCTTAGAAAACATATTTTCTTTCCCCTTTATTTTATAAATCAGGAAGTTAAGTGCTAGAAAGGTTAGATGATTTGATTACAATCCCACAGGCAACTGGTGGCAGAAACAGAAGCAAAGGCCTTCAGAACTTCATCCCGTACATCACCCTCCAAAGCACCACAGCAGAGGACTTGCCTTGGCCAGTCTTCCTCATGCCTCTTTGGCATGCTGTCCACTCTACCTAAAATGCCCTCCTCTCAGTTTAGTTGACACCTTTGGGAAATCCTTCCTGGTTTTCCCAGAATTAATTTGGCAGCTCCTGAAGCTCTCTTTTAATGCTCCAGGGTAATCACCCTGAATTGTAACTATCTACTTCTCTGTCCTCCCCCATCAGACTCGGGACAACTTGAGGTCACAGACTGTCTTTTCTGCTCCCACACCTGACCCAGGACCTGCCGATGAAGGCACTCACTGAATGTCCATTGGGTAAGTGAGCCCACCAACCATCACAGGCTTCTTCAAAGGGAGCCAGGAAAGCTGGGATCAAGGACCCAGGTGGGAAGTTAACCTTGGGATGAAGTCAGAGCATAACTTCATTGAGGACAGAGCACAGCAGAGGAGGAAGATGGACAGAGATTTTTAAGTAAAAGGGGGGAAAGCTTGAATAAGTTTGTGCAATAAGTGCTTAGTTCACTCACTAAAACTGGACAAGGAGGACATTGGATTTCATTGTTATTCTGTCAAGTAACTTCATATTTATTAGGGTACATTAAGTTCCTATTAATTACTAACAAGTTGGAACATGGCATGCTTAGTCAACTAACCTCCTGCTCTGGCATTTTGGATTGTCTCATGAGAAATAATGAGAAATCATTTCAACAAATTTCTGGTGTTATATAATACATGCATATACTATAATGATAAACATTTTTTATATAGAGATGCCTAACCCATAAAATGTATTATTTCTAGAACTTCAGAATTACTTGAGTATCTCATACTATTAGAAACCTCCATTTGTGCTTACATGCTTACATTCTAAAACTAACCTATCACCGAACTGAAGATATACCAGAGAAAAGTTACAAGCAAACTAAACATTCAGTGACAAATTATGTTGGACGGGGAAGCCAACTGAAAGGAGTATCTGTGTCACAGAATTGGATGAGTTGAACGATGAGCTTCTGTTCCCAGGAATGTTTTGCTGCCACCAAGAGGACAACAGGCATTCCTTCTTGGGAGTTACAAGATGAGCTGAATGTGCAAAAGCCATTGCAAACTCAAAAGAATGTCTATGGATTGCTTCATTCTACCTGGGCTTTAGATTTCTAATTTTGTAAACTGAATGGCAGCTGCAGAAACCACAGCCATAATTTCAGTCTTCTCTTATGTCACCATCTTCATGCACAGAAACAGGACCTTTAAACCCAGGTTACTGAATCAAAGACAGAGGAGAACTGAGATCCACTATGCATTTTTCAAGGTGTTTTGCTCTTCACTTCTCTTTCTTTAACCCCCTATGGTATTCAGATATGGTCCTGTGGGGAAACAGCCTCTCGGGCATGGTTGAGCCTTCTTTCCATCGCCAACAGAAAGGGAAGGGGGAATGGTCCTTTGGAAGGTCAAAGGAATACTTAACTAATGAGCATGAAACTAACTAATAACTGACTTTTTACCTCTCAAGTAAACAAGGCCCAGTTTTGGAATTTTTCTGGTTCTCTATCAAGACATTCCCCCCATTCCTCTTCTGCTAATTTGAAGATACTAATAGTAGACGAGTTATGCCTTATAAATTCACTTTTCTGATTTGAGCGATCCTTAATCCAACATGAATTAGCTGAATAAAGATCCAGATCCCAACTCAGGTGCTTTACCTCCCTTTTCAAGGAACCCTTAATACCACCAAAGTGAGGTGACTCTAAAAACTCTCTAGTAGAACCAAAAGGAGTTGGTGACTTAGTAATGATCAGAGATTAAGAAGAGAGTTAAAGATAACTTTGAAAAGACAGAAAGATCGTAAAAAAGTGTGGGAAGGTGTTCTGGAAAAGATGCAATATGTGAGACTTAAAAAAGATTAGACATGATAGGAAAAATCAGAACTTTGTTGAACTTCCTTACATTTCTTTATAGTTTAATATTGTTTTTAGTCTGAATTACAAAATACTTTCATGGCTTAGGAACTCTAAATGTCTTATTCCAGCCCAATACAGAAAGTACCTTAGAAAGTTTTGGTTCTGATTTAATGACAAGAAAAAAACTTAGAAGCAGAGATTTATGAATTCACTAAAAAATACTTACAAATATGTTTCTGTTATTTTATCAAGAATATTTTAAATAGTTTCCTAACTTCTAAAAAAAATTTGGCGTAACAATTGTTCACGTTTAAACTCAAAATGGTTTAATGACCAATTTAAAGTACATTTTATGAGGGGCACAATAATTCACAATCACAATGTAAGTTGGTCACAGGGCCAGTAGTACAGCATGGAGAATAGAATCAATGATTCTGTAACATCTTTCTATGTTGACAGACAGTAACTGCATTACAGGAAGTAACATTTAATAACATGGTTTCCTGTTGAACCACTGTGTTGTACATTTGAAACCAATGTAAGATTGTGTATCAATGATACTTCAATTTAAAAAAAAAAGCACATTTTGTGAACTTCACAAAAAACAAACATTTTAACAGAATAACAGAGGAGAAATAACAAACCACTTCTTAAGTTGCATAGGGCCTGCATTACATCATGCCTTTGTTTTAGATCAAGGTATTTGATGGTTAAGTACAGAAGCTCCTAAAATATCTGGAGGCTCTCCGAAGATATCAAATCATTATCTTTTGGGAAATTTGCAAGAATGATTGGGAATTCAGAGTTACCTTGTGAATACAGCAGTAATCACAAGGTGACAACACTTATTAGGCAATAAAATTTTTTATATACTATCTTAAGGACTTTTATGTATCATCCTATTTAATTCTTACAACATCCCAAAATTCATTTCTATTGTTATCTTAAAACTCAGATTCTAACACTTAATTTGCCCAAGGTCACACTAGAGCTGAAATGAGAACCAAATCCATCTGAATCCAGTGTCTGCAATTTTAACTACTGTATTTTACTGGGAAAAGGGTGAGCCCACATCTTGTTATAAACAAGGCAATTATCGCCTTCAATAAAGGAATGTCATCCTTGACTGAAGGACAAAAACCAGCCAGGTTATTTTCACTATCTCTGCAGCAAATGTTCTGCTGTTAGCACACTGTTAAAGCTGCACTGATATGTTGATATAAAATCCAACAAGATAATTACAATTGAATTCTAAAGTGTCTTATAAATTTCTTGCTATCAGAAAAAGAACTGCAAATTGAAACGTAGCAGTTTCTTTTTTAGTTGGTATATTACAGAACCTTTCTAGTAATTCAATTGTATGTTTAGGTACCTCCAGGGATGTTACTATGGTAAGAAGTAGTAAAAGAAAAAATCTGGCATCATTTTGACAGGACACAGGTTTTAACTTCTCTTATATCATCCAACTCGAATGAATGAAAACATCTTTATATGTTACTGAAGGAGTACAATAGCAACATTAGGTGGATTATAAGAAAAAAAGAAATAAACTCTAAATGAACAGTGATATAAAGGGATGACAGCAGGGGAGTGGATCCGAGCTATTCAGAGAAGTCCTTTTTTTGTTGTTCAAGAATCCAGAATGAGTCAAAGGCTATACAATGAATTACAGCCAGTTCCAAGGACAGAGAGGTAAGACAGCTTGGTAGCTTCAAGTTAAAAACACACTTACCTTTAGGAGAGCCAAGGCTACATGAAAGATTATGTTCAAACCCTGAAATAAAAAAAGAGAGTCAAAATCAATACTGCCATATCTATCACTATTTTATTATTTTCCCAAGACTTCCATGTATCTTTAATATAACCCCTAATTGCTTTCATCTTCATATACAATAATAATTAAACCATGAAATTTTTTAAAAGGTCTGTTTTCAAAACAGCAGCGGAATTACAGAACCCAAAAATGGACTAACAGGTACCAAAGGGAAAGGAACTGGGGAGGATGGGTGGGCAAGGGGGTATAAGGGGGGGAAGAAGAAGGGGGGTATTAAGATTAGCATGCATGGGGGAAGGGAGAAAGGGGAGGGTGGGCTGCACAACACAGAGAGGACAAGTAGTGACTCTACAACATTTTGCTAAGCTGATGGACAGTAACCGTAATGTGGTTGTTAGGGGGGACCTGATATAGGGGAGAGCATAGTAAACATAGTATTCTTCATGTAAGTGTAGATTAAAAATTAAAAAAAAAAAAAAAAGAAAGAAAGAAAGAAAGAAAAGGGGGATTACTCCTTAACAGGATAAAACTATTGGTAAATCAAAGATCAACGCATGCTTTAAATATCCTTAATGTTGATCACTTAAAGGGTGTCAGATGATCAGCTATGGAGGTACTCTTTTCTGATAATATTCCTTTCTCTTAATTAAAAAAAAAAAAAAAACAGCTACTCTGTGCTGACCTCCCATGAGTTCTGCACAGTGGTATAGAGGGCATGTCAAAGTGTGGGCAAAGGGTCTGTTTGTTTCTATGCAGAAGATCAAGGCCTAGCTTGGATACCCAGAAAATGAACTAAGATACGATATGAGGAGGAGCTTCCGGCATCAGCACTCTCTGGAGGACTTGTGCCGGGGGATGATCATCAAAAAGCCTCCACAGGGATCCGGACGATGCTGCGGTTGTGGCTGCATCCAGCCCACCGTCTCCTGGACTTGCCATAAGAAGGAGGAGGGAGATGTCTAGGCTGGCATGTGCATACAGTGAGACAACGAATTTGACCGGATCTGTACTGTTGGAACTCAACCAGGAGTTGGGAGGGGTGCAAGTTGTAGCACTCCAAAATCTCATGACTATAGACTATCTATGGTTAAAAGAACATATGGGATGTGAACAGATCCCAGAAATGGGCTGCTTTAATTTGTCTGATGGTTCAAGTACAGTTGGACAATATCCATCATATCATAGATAAATTTTCACAAATGCCTAGGGTGCCTAAATGGTTTTCTTGGCTTCACTGGAGATGGATGGTAATTATAGATTTGCTTTGTTTATGTCACCGTATTCCTATTATGTTAATATGTGTGTGCAAATTAGTTAGTAGTTTAAAACCTATACATACTTAAGGTACTATACAAGAAGATATGTCAAAGAAATAATCAATCCTCCCAAGTTTCCTTCATATGCTACATCTATAGCTTTTCTTCTTCCTTCCTAATTACAAACCTTAAATAGAATTCGTGCCTCATATCGAATTTACCGAGTATCATAATTCCTCCAGGTGGTAAAGATACCTCGAGACAAGTGCTGGGCATAGAAGCCACAGGGCATAAATCTGCAAAGAAGTAAAAAGCTAACCTTTGCAAACAATATGGCTTCTCTCTCACTTACCAACTTTACATTTCCCTGTATGGCCCCGGAAGATGACTGGTTAGCCAGAGACGGGTAAGATTCCTCAAGGGAGGAACAACCTAAGACAGGCACAGTCGCAGGGGGGCCATCAGGTGAGAATTTGGGGATCAACAGAGGTGAGGCTCAGAACCTCACCCCCCCTGCTTTGAGAGAAATCTTCTGCATCCGTGGATGTCTTGCTGCCCTTGTCTAGCCTGGATTAATACTTAGTCCATAGGCACACACCTGATCATCTGATCATCTACATTTGCCTTCTTACAGCACTAAACTATGTTTTCTACCTTTATCTTGCATCTACCTACCACTTCAGCATTTTATTAAAAATAAAAATAATAATAATAATAGGAGAAATGTGGGATCAACATATAAATCAAGTACAAAAATCAAATGAATATTCATATTTGACCTGATGGTTTATAGGTCATATTGCATGATCAAAACCGAAAGTTTCTGTGATGAATGCCCTTGTACTGTTCACCATGTAAGAATTTATTCACTCTGTAAGAATTCGTTCACCATGTAAGAACTTGTTCGTTATGCTTCAGAAGATTGGAGACTGACGAGAATTAGGCTTGAGATGGATTAATGATTGTGCATTGAGCATTGACCCCCCCTATACAGAATTTTATTGTTGTTAACAACCATTTGATCAATAAATATGAGAGATGCCCTCTCAAAAAAAAAAATGTCTTTTTTCCTTCTCGGAGAGGCTTACAGAAAATTTTTGATGCTATTTAATTAATGATCCCTTCAAGATACCCTTTAGGAATCCCACTCCATGTTCACCTAATTCTGCTATATTCTCAACCTCACTCCCAAACATTCCCCCACCTCCTTGTTTTCACAGGAGTAGTGAAATCTCATAAATTCTCATAACGACCTGTATTATGATTCTCACTTTCATAATATGACCTTGACAGTCTAAGGTTATATATGTATTCAGTAGCAGGCAAAGATTATCTCCCAAGCTTCCTAATGTCTAGTTTAATGGCACTTTCACCTCAAGGGGCTGTTGTGCCAGACACATTAACCACTTATTTGGTGACCAAATGATTGAACTATGCTAGGACTTCCAAATTTTCTGTGATTTAGTTTTTTCCCTATGGACCTAACTAGACTAATTGATAGAATATTTATCAAATTATAGTAAGAAACCCTTTTCTTCAATTATCTCGAAGTCAAACTACTGGACAACTGAAGTTTGAAATATACAAATAAGAACTTAGAAATAATTTTAAAAAACCAAGATCTCTAAATAACCAAAATAGCTTTCACTAACACTGATAGAAAAATTTATTCGTTTTAATTTCATATAAAGATCAAATTAGTTCAGTGATATGATTTTATAGTTTATACATATCAGAAATAGAATAAAAGACAAAAGGTGTGCTTGATGGGTTTAGCCCTGCAGAGACAGTTGTCAAAATTAAATATTAGATCTGACAGAAATGGAAGATACACTTTAAAAATATATAAAATGTATAGCTGTCTGGGCCCACTTAGTGGTGCCTTCAATAGTTAAAATTAGTTCAAAATGATAAGCCAACAGTATTCATGAATGCTTCTAATTCATTCAAAATATTGTGCTTAACAAGGGAGCATAGTATATATTTCAAATAAAAAGTAGATAATTTTTTTAAGTTTGGGAAGCGAAAGAGATCATTTCCAGTTACCAGAAATAATTTTTGTGTCAAGCCTTTAAACAAGTTCAGAATAAGGTATTACTGCATTTGCTTACATGAAGCACTAGACATAACCCATAAAAATCAAGAGAAGTAAAGACTTAACAAGCTTTAAACTAAAGTAGAACAGTATGGCCAGAGTATGCAAAGATACCTTTGGACCTTTAAATTGTTGGAAATCAGGAAAAATGACCTATTCTACCAATTTCTTTATTCACAACAAAATGTGTCCTGATAATGTAAATGCAAGCATTGGTCCTTAGCCTCCTAGTCAACAATGATATGAATTATGAGCAAACCACCCTTCACTGTTCCAAGCCGCCAGCCCCCTGTTGTTACTTAATTCTGCACTTACATGATCCAATCTTTGCCTAATTTAGCTGAAATATATTTTTTGAAATACATTTTTAAAGAGAAAGATGTCATGCATTTTCAAAATGACTCCCCTTTTCAGGAATATTTAATATATGGCAATTTCTTTGTTACCAAGGGGTAAATAACTGTTCCTAATAGGACTCGAAGGAGTAAAACATTCAGAAAATTAGTAAGCGTAAAAATAACGAGTAAATATGTTATTATGGCTACTTAGCAGGAGGTCTAACTCCAAGTACAAGATAATAAATAAGAGCCAAAATCCATGGGACATTTTCTATATGTCAAGATCTGAATTAATTACATTGAAAAACTATCTTTATTAAATCCCATGACAATCTAAATTCCATTTTACAAACAAGGGAATTAAGATTTAGAGAAGTTAAAGTAAATATCCCGAGGTCACATAGCTAGTAAGTGGATCTGAACCTAAAAAGTGTAACTCTAGAAGTCATACTCTTCTTTATGCTCACTACAGTAAGTGAAGTCACTGTCTGTCACCCTACAAAGTTAGGACAATATTATTGAGTATATTCCCTATGCTGTACTTTTCATCCCTGTGACTTATTTATTATACAATTATAAGTTTGTACTTTATCCCCTTCACCTATTTTTTCCTTGCTCCAACCCCCTCTCCTCTGGCACCCATCACTTTGTTCTTTGTATTTATGAATGTATTTATGAGCTTTGTTTGTTGGTTTGTTCATTTGCTTTTCAAATTCCACAAATAAGTGAAATCATATGGTGTTTATCTTTTTCTGTCCAACTTATTTCACTTAGTATACTGTCCTCTAGGCCCATCCATGTTGCTAAAAATGGCAAGATTTCATATTCTATTTTATGGCTCAGTAATATTCCATTGTATACATATACCACTTCTCCTTTCTCCATTCATGTATTGATGGACACTCAGGTTGCTTCCATATCTTGGCTATTGTAAATAATGTGGCAATAAACATAGGAGTGCATGTATCTTTTAAATTACTGGTTTTGTGTTCTTCAGGTAAATTCCCAGAAATGGAATTATCTGGTAATATGGTATTTCTATTTTTAATTCTTTGAGGAGCCTCCATACTGTATTCCATAGTGGCTGCACCAGTTACATTCCCACCAACAGTGCACCAGGGTACACTTTTCTCAACATTGTCACCAACACTTGTTATTTCCTGTCTTTTTGATACTAGCCATTCTAACAGGTGTGAGGTGATTGCTCACTGTGGTTTTGATTTGCATTTCCCTGATAATTAGTGATGTTGAGCATGTTTTCATGTGTCTATTGGCCATCTATATGCTTCCTTTAGAAAATGTCTATTCAGG